CATTTCATTGGCTAAAGGAGAATATTAAAAAGAGGCCGATTTTTGTTAAAAATGTAAGTAAAAGGAATCTTTTAGATTTTCTTCTTAAATATGAAAATTATTAAAACATTCGTGATACTTGGGGAACACCTTGAAAAGTAAGTAAGAACCCTGATAGCAAGCTGACGTTAAAATGACGACAAAATGACGTAGCTTGTTGGGAATATTGAAATTTGTTATCAAATATATTCATGCTCAATTTTTAAGGTGTTCCCTATCGATCCCCTTTTTGTTAATATTATTTTTGTTAATATTATCGTATTCAGGAAGAAAATCTATAAAAAACGGTTTATATAATAATGTAAAAAGAATATCTACCGGACAGATAAAGGATCTATAGATTTCTAGTCATACTTCTCGTGAATTTTGTTTATTCTTATCTACAAAGCATTATCTCGAATGCATCACATGTTACAACAATATAATCGACTTAGAAAATATATTTCAACCCTAAGATAACGGAAGGCAAGATAACAGCAGGCCACGATATTTTCGTAAATCAGCTTCAAATATGTTCAAGATTTATAATGTATTTCAATCTTTTTCGTTCTTTTTTTTACCTATTAGACGAAGACTATAATAAAGATTCTCTGACTGGAGAGTATTATATCATATTCGATAATATCATATTCGAAGAGAGATGTGCGTGAATTAATTATCGAAGAACTTCACGTCCAATGTTCCGCTTTTTACCGGCGTGCATTACAGGAACTGTTTTTTAAAGCGCGGAAACGCGGAAAATAAATATTAAATAAAGAGATAATTAGTTAATTTGAATATCTATTATATACAAAAAATGACATATTCGCCACAAATATTATAAAATTAGATATTAAAGCTGGAAAACGAATGTATGTTCCCTTCAAATATATTGTATATATAAACACAAGTAACAATAAATTATTATCTTTATTTCAATATCGACATATAGTTCCATTTTTTCAAATTCCAATTAAATTAAATAAAAAATATCTGATGTAATTCAGTTAATAAAAAATCTATTATAATTTATAAATTAAATTTCTGTAATATTATGTGGCGATAAATTACGTTAAAAATAAGTTAACAAATCTACAGTAGTCAACTAGAAGAAAATTATCTAAGAAGATAATTATACGTTGCCGAAACTTTTATAGAGGAATTTGATTAGAAATCGCAATTTGGAAGGAACATAAATCTTTATGTTTTTCGGAGGTGCCCGTTTTATGCGGAACTTATGCTCGGATTTAAGATCCAATTAAAAAATCTGGCATACAAAAATATACTCTGTAAAATCTAACAGATCTTTTTATAGCTACGGGACATTTGGCAAGCAAACAAAACAAGGCTATGGACGTAATATTAAAATGTTTCGGCATCGTCACAATCGCGCGTATCGTGTCCGAACATCTCGCAGGTTTCACAATATGGCCTTTCCACGGATTGCTTCTTCGGAGTTTTTACCGTTCTCTCGGTGCTCTCCATGAAATCCTGGGCTTGTCGGGGACAGTCTTCCGTCTCGTGCAGATCGAACTGATCGCAAATATCACAGAACATACGGGGCGCCGCTGTTCGTTTGTCCAGCGTGCTTCGAGTATAGTCCTCGGCCTCGTTTGCGGGAACCCCCATCTCGAGAACCTCGATCTTACACAGCAAACTCTCATTCTTACGTTGCATGTCGACTATTATGGAATTTAGGAAATCTATTTGACTCTTTGCGGTATCGTTCTCCTCTTGCAGTTTTGTAATGTCGATGTCCCTCGCGACGAGGTGCTGCTTCATGTCGCCTGTCCCGTCATACGTGTTCTTCAGATTTTCATGCGACAATTTCAATTGATTCATCGCCTCCATCCATTTCGCAATGACTTGCTTGTTCTCTTTCTCTAGCCGATTTAACTCATCCAGAAGTCGCTTCTCTTCCATCTTGGCTACATTCAACTTCTCCTGCAAATTTTGCACGTTTTTATTCACCTCTTTTTCGTTGTTCTCCATGATTTTCGCGAGATCGGCTGATTTCGTTTCCTGTTCTTTTAATTGTTTCTCGAGTGTGTTCACCGTATGCTGCAACTCATAAATTCGCTTGTTCGCACCACTCAACTCATTCTGCTTCAACTTGATCTCCTCGTTCCGTGTCTGTTGTTCCGCCTTGACTCTTTCCACTTCCGCGTCTTCCAGAACTTTTACTTGCGCCTTTAATTTACCGATAATAGCTTCTTTATCATCTAAATTGGTTTTGTGCTTATCAACAATGTCTTGCATTAATTGCAACTTGTCCTCCAACTCTTTATTTTGTTTATTTATGTCTTCAATCTTTTTCTGCTTAGTTACAACTTCGGACTCTAACGAGTTCCGCAATTTCAGCATTTCTTCCTCCTTGGAAGATTCTGATTCTTTTACCTTAATTTCTGCTTCTGTTCGTAGCTTCTCTTTTTTATCTAACTCTTCGTGCAAATTCGATAATTGACTCTCCAGTGACTTCACTGAGTTCTCCAAAACAGTCTTGATCTCGGACAATTCATTTATTTTACTTTGTGTCTGTGTGATTGCCTCTTGTGCATTCTTCAGTTCATTGTTATTACGAGTATGTTCTTCTTTCATGGAAGAGATTGTAGTATTCAATTCAGTTATTTGAACCTGCGATTTTTCCGTTTCTGCTCTCATCTTTGATATTTCATCAATTTTGTCTTTAATCGTTCCTTCAGCATCCTTCAATTTGCTCTTCAACTCTTCTATCGTACTTGTCATTGTATTTAAAGATGTTGTTAAATTTTTATCGGTAGTTGCTTTATTGTTAATTAAGGCATCGTGCATTTTCCGTAATTCCGACAATTTATTTTCTACTTCCTGAAGTTTCGAATCTTTCTCCTGAAGTAAATTCTCTAATTTTGAAGTTTCGTCCGACTTGAATTTCAATTTCTCTGTCAATTCCTCGATCGACCAACGATTCGCGCTTTGATCGGCCTCTAGTTTACTCTTACATTTTTGCAAATCTTTAATATCATCACACGAAGTCGACAATTCGGTCGACAAATCCGTAATTTTTTTTTGTAACAAGGATGTCTCTTCTTGGTAAGAATTTCGCAAGGTTTCGCATTCTCCATGAAGATTGACAATTGCTTCATCCTTCTTTGTCAATTGCTCCGTAAGATTGGTGACTTGGTCAAACTTTTCCTTCAAATTTATCTTTGCGCG